TTATGGTTTATTTACCATTTCATCATTACTGGAATAACTGGGGCTATTCATCTACCTGTGAAAACACTATGAGATAGTATGTGCGCTCAAGAAAGTTTTCAGGGTGGTTTATCCCAGTTATATTATGGCCCATTCCTCACCTCAAAATTTCCCCACTTTCAAATTGCTAGAAACCACGTTGGATCTGAAAAGGGCTCTCTTAGTGGTCAACAGAAAGGAAAGAATAAAACAAAAATGCTTGATAAATACTTTCCTAAATAACATAGATTCATATAATTCCAACCATTTTTCAAAGTTGTCAAATATTTTCTGGTTTTTTTTTTTGATTTATTATCTTTTTTTCAAAGATTTTTCTTTGTTATTTTCAAATGATTTATCTTTCATTTGAGGGTGTCAAACATCTTTTTCACACTATTTCTTGATAGTGAAGCATCGCTTCTTTGTTTTATTTTAACTTACTTTCTATACTTGATATTTTTCTAGCTTAAAATTAAAAAATAAATGATCATTAATGGTATTTAAAGTACTGTACATACACTTAAAAAATTAATTTTATATTAACTTTCTCATTTTTTTCGATTAGAAACTGTACAAAGATCAAAACCTTTAAATATATTTTTTTCCAAAGATTGTCTTTAGCTTCAAATTTTATTAATAAATTCAATTTTTTCATTATATTTAGCAATTTAGAAATATGAGTTAATTTGCATGAACATTAATAAAATATAGTAAAACACTAAAATACTATCTAGATAAAGAACACTTGGAACCATTGGTTGTGGCAAAGTAGAGGTTTTGTTGAGTGAAATCCCTCACAAACACTACGTTTGCTTTGAACTACTAATGATCATAAAATAGGGATTTACGGTGCTAAACCTTTCTAAAAGACCACGTTTGCTCGGAACCGTTAGTGGTCACACAGTAGGAGTTTACTGAGTAAAAGACTCCCTCATAAACTCCAATTTTCCTGATAATCATTTGTGGTTCTAAAGTATGGGTTTTACTCTATTTCACATTCGGTATTTTAATTTTATAAACATTGAAAAGACATTCTTAACGATAATTGTTAAAAGTTTATTATAATATAACGATATACAGTTGAATGAAGAATGAATTTAATACATTTTAATTAAATTTCCGGTTCAGAAATAGTTTTCGTAGAGGAATTCATAGATTTTTTAGAATTAGAATTATCGTGGTACGAAGTACTAAGCGTCGTTCTGAATGCCACTTCTTTACATTGATTGCTCCAAGCTCTTCTCTTGCAACCGAACAATCCCATGAAACTTTGACGAAATTTTGAATTCATGAAGCAATAAGTAATTGGATTGCAGCAAGAAGATGTATAAGCCAATAATTGGAAAAATGAGATTCCATAATAACCGAGTCCTTCGTAAAGAGAGCGAGGATCGTAAAGCGAAACTGTATTGATAACGTAAAGGGGTGTCCAACAGATAAAAAATTCTAACACGACAACGAATAGCATTTTAAACACTCTCCTCTTCTGCGATAGTGATTTATCAAGATTACTGACACGAATCCCTTGATAAGAAATATTATCTTCTTTACACTGTTGCTTCGGTTTCAAACTACTCCGTGAAGATAAAGATGTATGACTGTCGATGCGTTGTGTCCCTGCTGAATTCTTGGGATAAAAATGAATATGAAGTTTATTCGATCCATTTTTTGTGGTAATTTCTGAAATAATAAGTTATTTTTTAAGTTATTTATGGTAGTAATATGCTAAATTTATTTTAGTAGTCATGCAATATATGCACACGATAGCTCAGAAGACAGTTAACCTATTATTGAATAGGATTAATTGGGTAAGGCATGGCAACGCTAATAGAGGATGATTGGTTTATTGTTTACGGCAAAGCGACGCGTGGGCGATCTTCCGACGGGGATGCCTTACGGGAAGACTTTCTATGGGAACTCGGGCCCTATTTAGGTGTTACTAATGTGAAGAAAATCCGGAAAAGTTCACGTAAACCACGACCAACTACCAGTGTTCTGGAGTTTTATCCACTCGTCTACTAGCGGGTACAATACGGGGTGTCACCCAGAAGAATTTTCTACAATACATTGGTATAAGATATGTGAAGGAAAACCCAAATGGCAGAAATTGGCAGTTGGTAGGGCACGAACTCTCCACCAACCTACAAACTTTACAATAATTTTATTCACTCGGCCTACAGCGGACAATTAAACTATTATACTTGACTATCTTAAAAACGGTTTAAAAATCAATTTGATGCATCCATTCTTTATGATCCATTGGTTTCAGAAACTTCCAATGAATCAACTAAGTAGATTTATATCGATTTACACTTAAAAAAGACAACACGCAACTGTTATAAACCTGGTTTTAAATATTCTAAAAATATATAACTGTCTTTTGAGCCACCCTGTTTATAATTGGAAATAATAAGATGAGTAAGAAGAACCTTGTCCTTGGCATTTTAAAGGTTTGATTGTTTTCCATAACGTTCCAACTATAAATGAATAGGTAACTGTCATGATGAGCAATGGTACGACTAGAAGAATGACATCCAAGAATAAGTTAAAGATTTTCTCTGATATTTCAGAAGGCCAACTCTCTCTACATTTATATTTATCTAAAAAAAGCCAAGTAAAATTTCATCATTATTCATGATTAATTATCATTATCATAATTTAATAAGGTCGATCCATCATCATGAAAATATGATTGTAATAAAAAAGTTTCCACAATATATCAATTTTCAAAATTAAAATATGTTTATTTATAACGAAAGAATGTAATAAATTAATTATGAAATTAAATTATTATAATTAAATATTAATAAATCACAAGAAAATATAATTATAAAGTCATAAATACATTTTTAAAAATTAATTTAAAAAGTTGTTACTTAATTAAAAGTAGAGAAACAAAGACACTATTACATATTATTTTTTATATTTTTTATGTTAAATTATTAAAGTAATTTAAGTAAAATGGATAAATTACAAACACTAATATGTGTATATCCCTATAGCTTTTACGCCTAGACAGTATTTTCTTATAGCATGAATGGAATTTATCTGTTGTGACTTTGATAAGTTTGACAAGTAATAAGTGCAAGCTGCTCATATGAATCTACGGATGTCCTTGTCAATCAAGTGAAGTAACGGTCAACTGCCCTTACAAGTTGAAAAGAACAGTCCACTGACCAATATACAAAGCGAATGTATTGTCTGTAGAAACTGTAGAAACAATACTAACATAGCATGAAAGGTTATTTGAAAGTTTGTAAACAAAAGAAAAGAAATGGAGAATTACGTTAAAATGTGAGGGTTGGCTGTTGTTTGGAGGTTAATTTTATATACATTTAAATACACTTTAAAAAGAAATGTTCATGGAAAAATGGCCACCATTTACAGGTGTTAGTTCTTGGTGGTTTGACTATTTGAAAGATTATTTTATTAAAATTTAAAAACAACTAAAAGAAAAATACAAATTAAAGAAAACAAATTCATGAGAATATTTCGTTCCAGAACTTATAGAATAAATTATTAGAAAACATTCTTTTTTTGAACACTTTTAAAACAATTGAAATTTATTAAAGATTCAAAAATAATAATTAATTGTGTATTTTATATATAAAAACTATTGATGCATTTTATATTATACGAACTGATTAATCTACAAGGGTAGCCCATAAGTCAGTTAACCGAGACGAGATTCATCGCTTTGAAATAACCCAATGACATTAACATTGCAGAATACACTACATCGTACATTAAAAATATTGATATATTCCTTCAATTAATCAATAAAGAAGCAGAATATTTAAATATTTGTCATATGCTTTATATATAAACATTAAATTTGATATTCCAAACATCAATAATAAAGAAATTAGAATATTCATGTCATATGTAATTTCAAATGCATAAAATTTTGAATTAAATCAAACGGATCAGCCTATTGGTTTGCTTACTTAGAGGGGAAAAGAAGGAGAAAGAAGAGAAAGAGTTCAAGAGGGGGGAAGGAAGACGAGAAGAGACAGGTAAGAAGAGGAAAGAGGGAAAAGAAGGAATATAGCAAGAAAAAGTAGAAGTTAAGAGAGAGAAGAAAGGAGAACGAAAGGGAGAAGGGAAGAATAAGAAAAGAGAGAAAAGGCAAGAGGGAAGAGGAGAAAGAAGAGAAGGAGAAAAGAGAGATCAATTAAATATACATCATTAAATTATAACATTTTAAATAATCATAGTAGAAAGTTATACCTGTCGTAAACAAGGTCAATTTTATGTGAAGACAATAAAGCAAGCGAATTATACTAGCTTTTTTTCTTTTTCTTTTTTTAAATGATTGCTATCCCTTAGAGATAGATGAAACGTTCAGACAGATTCACACTTATTTTTTTGTAACTTCTGCTTCTAACAATCAATAGAATCAGGGTTTGAAAGAGGTAAGGAGAAATCTGAATTAGTCCCAAATATGCAGCTTAGTCTTTTTGTAAGTCATAAAAAATATGAAAAATCAATTAAAATAAATTTACATTATTTATACAATGTGTTTTCTACATAAAAGTTTTCTGCTTTCGGGCAACAATTGATTTTGATTGACCCGTCTACCTAGGCATTGATATAGCAGTAATTACTAAACTAAGCTTAAATCTGGAATTATACTAAAATAAAGGGAGAAAAATATTACATTTTAATCTAAATTAATTGAGTTATTAAAATGATTTAATGAAGCAAAATTAAAATTTATTCCTCATTATTCAATAGTAATATCTGATAAACAGGTAGAATATAAAGTAATATATTCTTTTAAACTTTTAATTCAGAAAATTATTAAATATATATTCCCTTAATTCCAATATAATGCTTAATATTATTTATTTTTACATAATTTTAGAAATATTATTTGTTTATGAATAAGAATTCAAAAGGTCAAGAGTCAGCAAAAGGTCAAAAATTTTACATAAGCTTATAAATTTAAAATTTGTTTCCCTAGAATAAATTTTATATTTTTATTTCCCATAAATTTTAAATATGTTCTTTTAAAAATTCAGCAACCAGTTGTGTAATTTACCAGCAGGAAAAAAACCCTATTACATAACCTAAAAGTTGAAAAATATATATATATGACTCCATTTGTTATGATATAATACGTTAATAATGAGAAATGACTTCTATGTTTCCAGTGTTATATATATAACAGCCAAACATTAAGTAAAATTTTAAACAACAGATGGCACTAGGAACAAAACACCCCTCAACTAAACTCTTTTATTAACTTTACGTTAGAAAACTTACTCTAATCACTTGAAATTCGTATATAATATGCATAAAAATAACTTACCAGTATCTCTTATAGGTTGAAGTTGACTAAGTACAGATATGGGTAGCATACAAAGAAGGGAAGCTGCCCAAACCACTCCAATCATCCTATAGGCGTGTGACAACGTTTGCCATTCTCTAGATTTTAAAGGGTGACAAATGGCATAGTAGCGCTCGATAGACATGGCTACTAATGTCCAAGCACTTACACTCACCGACACGGCTGAAAGAAAAAATAAATAAATAAATACATAAATAATAAAATATATGTAAACATTTGAAGCTATTCTTCAGAACAATAGCTTCAAATGGGTTTTATATAACAGAAGGGAGGTATCTTGTCAAAGAAAAAAAAATGGTTTCCAATATTTTTACATTTTTAGACTAAGAGAACCTTGAAATGCATAAACAAATTTGGGATTTTTTTCTGTATGTATGGTTGTTAGTGTGTGTATGGGGGTACGATTTTGTTCACTCAATTTAAAGCTTAATAACTCCTGTGCATTTTGTCGAACATTTCTGAAATTTTGCAGGGAAGTTTGTGTATTAGGAGCATTGACGTTGTTAAATTTTGGTGGTTAAAGGTCGAGAAAATGGGGAGATAGAATATTCCTTCAATTAATTCAATTGATATATTCCTTCAATTAATCAATAAATAAGCAGAATATTTAAATATTTGTCATATACTTTATATATAAACATTAAATTTGATATTCCAAACATAAATAATAAAGAAATTAGAATATTTATGTCATATGTAATTTCAAATGCATAAAATTTTGAATTAAATCAAACAGATCAGCCTATTGGTTTGCTTACGTGTCCTATCTCGAGAGGGGTTGGAATTAATGATGATTTTATTTGTTATTAGCATTTGCAGTCTTTTTTTTTAATAAAACTCATCTCTATCGTCAAGATTAAGCTTTTTGCCATTCTATAACAATTAATTATATTTTAAAAAATTAATAAAAGAAGAGATGGTGCCATACATTATGTATGTTTTTTTTTGTCTTCTCTGATATCAAAAGAAGCTTTGTTTACTTTCCTTATAGTTTTGAGGCTGATTTATACTAAAAACAGAGTTAAAAGTCTGCATTATAACGAAACGTAAAAAATGTTTTTGAGGTCTCGTAATTGTGGCCCTAACCAAATGCTCCTGCTGATTTAGCTAGGGTAATACAGTGGAATGTTTTGATTATGCTCAGACTCTAGATAAATGTCGACTTGAAAGGCCTCTTATATGACGTAAAATTAAATTAAAATCACGTGTCGTTAAGCATATATTTGTGTATATTTCAGACCCTAACAGTGCAAAAGCCTACATCATATATGCCTAAAAGCACCACTGAGACCACATAATGAAATATAACGTCACATTTAAAACTTTTATTAAGTTTTGAACTTATGTAATATTTATCCATATTACATAAATAAATATATGGATTAATTATAATTGTTTACCTTAATCGAACGTATAGACTGTCAAATAAATAACTTAAGTAACGTTCAAACAGATGATGTTATTGTGATAATTAAAATTTACGTATACTTTCGATTAAGAGTACGCTTTATAAGGATATAATGTAATATACAGTATATTGTACTTTATAAGAGCACAAATAAGGGTAAACAATAGCATAGTAAGTAAGGTATTATATTATATGCCCTATATTCTCTTGTAGTATAGATGAGTATAGTAGATAAGAGATATATCAAGAGTATATAAGAACACAGTAGGGCAGAGCATGTTTTGCCCTTATGGTCTTCGCAGTCTTACGTGTATCTCTTATCTACTGTACGCCCTGTATTATAGAGGAGTCTAGACCCTACACTACTCCTTTACTACGCTCTTATATACCCTTGTGTATACTGTATCCTTATAGAGTACAATATACTGTATATTATATTAAACCCTCATATAGCGTATTCTTAAAAATACCTCAGTTTATGACATTTTACAGAGTGGGATTTATATTATGCTCTTATGCATTATTTATCTAAATATTTAAATAATAAAATTGTTTAAATAAAATAATATAATATTATTTTTATTTATAATGACCCCATTGAATTATCGAATAAAAATAAATAAATAAATTGAACAAATCTCATTATCTGATTTTATCCAATTAAAGTTTTAAATTGGTTACATATTAAATCAATGATTCAAAATGTAATTAAAATTCAAATTTTTGGAGCTTAATTCATATATTTATTTTAATTTTTATAACTATATTTAATAAATATATTATAAATTATAAGATAAATATTATTTCATTAAATTATCATCTTTCTATGATGTATGAACGAGTTTGCATAATTTAATTTATACAAAAGCAATTAAAACTCTCTTCTCATCAGTAGATTCTGTACGATTCAATAAAGATACCAATTTGATATTGACAAAGAAAAATTGATTCAAGAAATGTATCATCATCATCATCATCATCAAGAGTTGAGGATAATCGAGTAATTATACCCATGACCTTTAATGGGAATTGATTAATCTCCATTAATGATCATTAATGGAGACCCCTCTACTGATTATGATTCATCAAGCTCCATTGATGCCTTCCATTAAATTACACGTACAGTTTTTTATCCACTTTTGAGCCTTTTCCTTCCTGTTATGTACAGTTACTTTTGGCAACCCCTCCCCCATTTAATTACGTGTAGCATAATTTATAACCGTCGACATTGAAGAAATGATTTTTGAAAGTTCTGCAAATATCGATAGTTTATTCACTAGTAGTTTAAGTAGACACATAAGAACAAATTCATGTGCCACTAATGGGCCACCAGTGGCCGAGTGGATGAAATCACTCGTAGGTTTGCGCCTCATCAACGGGATGGCCACGTGGAGTTTTCCGGGTTTTTTCACTTTAGTAACGCCTAAATAAGGGGCCAGTTTTTTATAAAAGATTTCCCGAGAGGCATTCTCCCTCGACGTATGCCATAAACAAATAAACCAAATCTTTCCTACCCCTGGAAGATGGCCTTTTGATGCTCTGATTTAGTCCAGCAACCTAATTTAAACGTATACCACTAATAGATTACCATTAAAAACCGCGTATACAATGCCTTGCCCCCTTTCTCGCATACAATGATGTGTTTTTCTGATCCCCCTTAAGCTGTATACGTAATTAACAAACTACTGTATTCCAATTCTTCATTAATTATCCCT